GGGTGGACGAGGGTGAGCCTCAGATTTTCGGTCTTACCTGGTGAATGATGAGATCCTTCTCTGAGACTGATGTTGCTGGGAAGAAACAGCTGGGGATTAAAAGGATGGGTTGAGCTTCATTGTTGACAAAGATCTGGCTAGATGTAGGAGATGACGTCTAAGGGCTTTGGGAGCCAGAAGATCAGAAGATGGAAGGAACTACAGGGCCACTGCACAGTGTCATTGCACGGGCTAATGCCACCGACTCAGTAGGACATCTGCCTTTGACTACTATGCTGTGCGTGAAATACAGACGTTGGTTATATTTGTGCCATGCACGTGGTTGGGTCTCTGTGTTACTATAGCCTAATCTAATCTAATCTAATCTAATCTAATCTAATCTAACAAATACAGTTCTTAACCAAATTAATCCTGATTCTAGACTCCATAAGGGCAGGGACTACATCTGCCTGGTTCACAGAGGTGTCCTCCGACCCCAGGCTTAAGACACACTATGGAGAAGAGTGCTCCGTTATGAGCTCTGTTATGAGCTTGTGGGCCACCTCCCCCATGTGGTCTGTGATTGAGCTAAGTGTCATTATATGGCCCATGACTGTACATATTTCAATTTCCCTTCACGGTTCCTGACTCCCAGATCCTGCAGTCTTTGTAATTTCCTAAATGCCTTACAGCACTGAGTGCATTTTGTATGAAAACATTTGGCCCTTTGTCCTTGATTAAAGCGGCTGCAGGATAACTTCCGAGTGTAAAGGTGGAAGGCAGCCTTACTTTTTCACAAGCTCTTTCTAACACGCCTGACCTTCTGTGAATGAGATGATTTGGGAGAAAGACTCTAGATAAATACAGGACAGGGGCTGGTGGCCAGAGGAGCCGGCCACTGTGCTCAGAGAGCTGAAATGTCCAGCTCCACTTCTTAAGCTCCTGGCAGAGAGACGTGGGAGGTTATGTTGGCCACCAGTGCCAATGGCTTCATCAATCCTTTCTACAAAGGGGGACTTTCACAAATGTCCAAAAGGACAGGATGGGGAGCAGCGGGAAACTGAACACACGGAGGGCCCAGGAGAGTGGTGTTGCTCAGAAAGCCTGGGACTTCCTGCCCTTCCCCCTTATTTGCTTCATTCATCTCTTCGTCTGATGGTCATTGCTGGCCTTCATCACATCCTTTATAAGAAATTAGCAAGTGTAAGCATTTCCTTAAGCTTCATGAGCACTTCCGCAAGCTAATCAGACTGGTAGGGCAGACGTGGGAACCAGGATTGATAGCTGATCAGCGAGGAATGCGGGCAAACCTGCGTGGAGCTTGTGCCTGGCAGCTGGCGTAGGGGAGCACAGACTTAGGGAGTGAGTGCTGAGGCTGCGGGATCGGATGCTGTCTCTAGGTGAATAGCATCAGAATGAAATTGAATTAGAAGAAACCTAGCTGGTGGCCACTGCAGAATTGATTGCTTGGTGGGCAGGGAAACCCCACACATGCTTGGTCCCAGAAGTCTGCTACACCGAGTACTGGGTGAAAATACGGGAGCAACAGCCTGGTGTCTTCCTAGATCCTCAAGCTAGTATTCAAATTCAAGCAGGGTGACCCTAGAAGGTGCCCCTGAAATACTGACCTGTAACCAGATGCACACTCATCTTAACATTTTAATTCATGTCCTTTCCTTGCCACAGTTGTCCCAAACCTCCCTCTTTCCTTGCTGCAGCTCCATCTTCTCCAGCTGTCCCAGGACCTATCAATCATTCTACCCCTTAATTAGCCTGGCAGAGGTTCATCTATGTCATTCTTAGTACAGGGATTTCACATGTCTGTCCCTCCCTACAAGGAAGCTGCCACAAGAGAGCATCTTAATTATGCATCTTAGCATTCCAGAGAGGGCAGGGAAAGTTCCAGAGCTGTCCAGCCCACCTCCCTGTGTGGGGCGCTTGCGCACTGAAGACTAACATACAAATATGACAGAGTCAGTCCTCTTTCTTGGAAAGCCCTCAGTCTCATCTGGGTAAACAGACATTAAAAAAACACAATGAAACCTTTGCATCAGTGGGGGCAGAAGAAAAGCAAGAACCCAATTCTTCTTGAAGAAGAAAGGAGGAGTACAGGACAGATGGGCTTTGAGCTGAGCTCCTAAAGGACAAGTAGGAGTTTTCAAAGTTTTTAAGGGGGACCCTAACTAGCAGTGAAATCACAGACGCGTGAAGGTTCAGGAGCTGTTCCAGATCAGGGAGGCACTGACTTGCTAAATGCAGGGTACCTTCCTCGACCCAGTTATGTATTATTGAATAGCTGCTGAAGAAGCCTAGCACGTGTTGGGCATTGTGCTAAATGCAGAAGATTCAAAGGAAAACAAAATAGATACGATCTCCACCCGTGTGGAGCTTAAGATCCACTAGGGATGGTGGCTGACTACAGAGCTCTAACAGGCATGTGTGAGAGGAAAGGAGAAAAAGCACCCAAGCACAGGAGGGAGGCGTTGGGGGTGGAGGGAAGACTGGCTCCGGTGGCAGGAGTGTCCACTGTCATGCCAGGGACATCAGTCTGTCACCAAGTCCTGCTTCTCCCACTTCATTGATAGTTCTCAATTGCATCCATTCCTTTCACCACTCCTCTGCTCAGTGCAGGCCATTACCTCTTCCTTGAAAGGACAGGACAGTTCTCTAGAGCAGGAGTCTCCAAGCCCAGGGCCACAGGTACAGGCCCCTGACCTCCTGGGACCTGGTCCACACAGCAGGGAAATGAGCGGTGAAGCCTCATCTTCACTTACAGCGGCTCCCGGAAGCTGTCCTTTCTGCCTGAGCTCCACCTCCTGGCAGATCAGAGGAGTGAGACTCCTACTGCGAAGTGCACCGGAGAGGGAGCTAGGTCACAAGCTCTCGGGAGTCATCCAAACCTCCAACCCCTCTTCATGAAAAAGCTTTCTTCTGTGAAACTTTTCCCTCGTGCCAAAGAGGTTGGGAACGGCTGTTCTTTAAGGGGTCTTCTCCGGAGGCCGGTGTGGTGGTGCACTTGGGAGACTGAGACAGAAGGATCTCTGTGAGTTTGAGACCTGCCTCTTTGGGCTACAAAAAGTGAGCACAAGGCTGGACCAAGCTGCATAGTGAGAGGATCTCAAATAAATAAATAAATAAATAAATAAATAAAAATTATAAAATAAAAAATGAGGGTTCTCCTCAGCCCAAACCCACCCACCCATCATTCCCAATGCAAATAGTGACTTTTTTTTTTTTTGCATCTGTTTATTTATTTGGTACAGGGTCTTACTATGCAGCTCAGACTCATAGTGATCCTCCTGTCTCAGCCACACCAGAGCTGGGATTACAGGCATGTGCTACCATGCCTTGTTTCACATGGCACAGGGCCAGCACGGCATGCGATACTGGGAATCGAACTCCGATCCTTGCACTTGTGAGGCAGGCGCCCAGACCATGGAACTATCTCCTGGGCCCAAACAGTGATCATTTAAGAGACAAAATCTATTGTGTTTTGTTCTGTGCTGAGAATTCTGAGCTGATCTCCACCCCCTGTATTCCTCTTGCGGCTGTGTTACATTACACAGAAGAAGGAATTTCGCAGAGTAGTTAAGGTAGCTAATCAGTTGACCTCAAAATGAAGCAGCCAGCTGGGCTTGCCTCATGAAGCAGGCTGTTGTTTGCTTTGTAGCATTGGGGCTTGAACAATACCTTCACACTGAGCTGCACCCCAGCCTCTTCTAAAGCATTTTTCATTTTATTTTGAGGCAGGATCTCACTAAGTCTCCCTGACTGGGCTAAAACTAGCCATCTTCCTCTTCACTCTCCTCTGGTGCTTACATCCTCCTAGAGGGATTACTGGCAGCACCCATCTGACACCCTCCCCCCACCTCCCCCCCAAAGCCAGCCCTTCAGAGGCAAAGCTTCCTCCAGCCAGTAGCAGGAAGGGGACACTAGGGAGTTTGGATGCAAAGGAGGCTGGCTAAACTCAACCTGCCTTTGCTGATTTAAAATGGGGAAGGGCTGTAAATGGCCTTAGGAGATGAGACTCTACTGACAGCCACCAACAAAATGGGGACTTCAGTCCTCCAATGGAAAGGAACTGGATTCTAAAGCAATATGAATGAGTTTTAAAGTGAATTTTCCCCTAGAAGTCAAGCCAGCCACACTCTGCCGTTGGCTTGGGATAAACTGAGCAGGGCACACAGCAACAGCCTGCACCAAGCAAGACTCACAACAAACAGAACCGTGGAATCAAACTGTGGAACCAAACCCACGGGCTTTGTTACAGACCACCAAGTTTGGGGTCTTAATAGACATCAATAGGAAACCAAAAGATCGCCCAGGTTTCTCACTCTCCCATAAAACCACTGTGGACTTGGCAGGTGTGGGCATTTAACCCTTGCAGCAGTCCTATCAGGCAAGGCTTTTTATTACCACCATTTCATAGATGAGATAACTGAAACTGGGAGAGGGTAGACACCTTTCCAAGGCTGAGGCCATAGCTGGGTAAGCAACCTGTCTGACCCCAGCATCCCTACACGATCACTTCTTGTCCTCAGGATGAATTCAAGTACAGCCCCTCCCCCATCTGCTTCCTGTCTAACCCTCCAGGCTCTCTTGGGCACCCATCTCCCATAAATCCCTGACAGCCCCGTAACTGACCATTCATTCTTTCATCTTCCTGGCTGTGCACATCTGTTCCTCCCGTGGGGAATGTGTCCTGCCCTCATTTCCATCTACTTTCCCTTCCACAGGTGGTCCTTGGGGTCTGCCCAAGATACACAGTCCATACTGGGTTACATGAACTTTTTTTTCTTATTGTTAGTCTTTTATTTTGCCCTTTATTTATATACTAGGTTTTAATACATGAGAAACCATGTGATAACTCACGTGTCTGATTTACTTCAGTTATCATTATGGTCTCCAGGAAAAATAGGAAAAAGTTTCCTGTGACATATCCTAGTGGCCTCTAGTGGCCCCTTGATTGTCCCCAAAGGGTCTGGATGCCACTGCAGTATCCACGTAAGCTCCACTCGCAGAATTCAGAAGACACTGTGTTAGAAATGTTCACCCTCAGTTCTTCACCATCATATCCCTGGCTCAGGAGCACAGTGGGAACGTGATAAACTCTGATTACTGGATGAATCAGTGGATCGACCCAAGAAGCAGCGAGGAGCCCTCCGAGGTGTGCAATCAAGGGGGAAGCTTATCGAATCTGTGTTCACAGAACCAGCTCTGAGCAAGCCGCATGCAAGGGACCATCCTCATGAGCAGCTGGGGTAACAAGATTTGTGGTGGCTGTGGGTTTTGTGTGCAGTGAAAACGTAGCTCTTGTCTCATTGGGACCATATCTAGATAACTGGAAACATCAGAAACTGTCAAGGTAATGACTTCTGTTTCCCCTTATGGAAAGTAGGACGCTTGAAAGAGCCTGTAACTTGGGTCAGGGCCCCAAATTCTCACTCCCATCAGGAGTTTCCCTGCCAAGAAAGGCGTGGAAAGAAGAGCTGTGGAGCCCCCCCAGGCACGACCTGTGGATAACTAGGAGCCATCTCTGACGTCTCCCTCCATTCTAGACCCTTCCAGGGCTATATAAACTCTCAGAGCCCGCTGCCGCTTCTCTTCCAGCTTAAATATGCAAATATTTCTTCCCGTCACAGAAGACTGGAAGTGAGCTTGGAGACAGCCCTTACAGCTCCCACCCAGCTCAAGCAATGAGATTACAGCGTCTTGGTTAGAGCCGGCTGGAGGCCCCATCCCCAGTTGTGCAAACTCATCATCCCCAGCCGATGCTGCCCTGACGGAGCAGGGCCAGGTCCCAGGGCTCCTGGAAGGTGCGAAGGTCTGGTCAAAGCATCACCAGGCTACCTCGAGAGGGAAGGGCAGATTCCCGCGGAGTCGTGCGCATCAGGTCCTGCAGTGCAGACTTGCGCGAGTCTCTCTGGCACCGGCTCGCGAAGGAGCTATGAGTTGGACTCAGGATGCCGGCGGCCGGGGCGAGACGCGGGCGGGGCGCAGCGAGGCTGGGAGGGGCGAATCTCGGTGCCAAGCCTCCAGGGCTCCTGGCCTCAGCTCTGGGCTCTAGGGGCGGGAAGGGGCGGAGCCAGGCGGGGAGGAGCAAAACCCGGAGGCCTCGGGCACCGCCGGCACAGTCAGCAGCGGGAGCCCCAGCCCCGGCGCATGGCCTCGGGAGCTCCAGCCGTCCGGGCTGAGGCCAGTGCCAGCGTCGCCGGGGACGGAACCACGGACTCTGCAATCCCAGGACTGCGCCAGCGGGGCCAGCGGGACCTGCCATTGGCGTGCAAGGTTTGCACCATGGATCCTGCGGAGAAAAAGATCTCGGTGTGGATCTGTCAGGAGGAGAAGCTGGTGTCCGGCCTCTCGCGCCGCACCACTTGCTCGGACGTGGTGCGCGTGCTCCTGGAGGACGGCTGCCACCGGGGACGGAGACAGCGGCGGAGTCTGCGACGGGGCCCGGCCGGGGACCTGCCCGGCCAGGAGGAACTACCCGAACCCCCCGACGAAAACGAGGAGGAGGAGGACGATGAGGCGCTGCCCCAGGGCATGCTGTGTGGGCCCCCGCAGTGCTACTGCATCGTGGAGAAGTGGCGCGGCTTTGAGCGTATCCTGCCCAACAAGACGCGCATCTTGCGCCTCCTGGCCGCCTGGGGCGACGAGCAGGAGAATGTGCGCTTCGTGCTGGTGCGCTGCGAGGCGTCGTTGCCCAACGCAGGTCCGCGCAGCGCCGAGGCGCGGGTGGTGCTCAGCCGGGAGCGCCCCTGCTTGGCCCGCGGAGCCCCAATCCGGCCCAGCCTGGCTATGACCCAGGAGAAGCAGCGCCGGGTGGTGCGTAAAGCCTTTCGCAAGCTGGCGAAGCTTAATCGGCGGCGCCAGCTGCAGCCACCATCACCTTGTTCGTCCACGTCGTCGTCCACAGCCTCATCCTACTCGCCGCCTCCGCGCGCTCCCGAGAGCGCATCGGTGGAGCGCATGGAGACGCTCGTGCACCTAGTGCTGTCGCAGGACCACACTATCCGCCAGCAGGTGCAGCGGCTCCGGGAGCTGGACCGTGAGATCGACCGCTATGAGGCCAAGGTGCATTTGGACCGCATGCGGCGGCACGGGGTCAACTACGTGCAGGACACTTACTTGGTGGGAATGGGCGTAGAACTGGATGCGCCCACCCCGGGAGAAGAGCTGGAGAAGGAGGCGGCGGCGGTGGCGGCGTCTGCGCCCTTGGACGGCGAGGCGCAGACGGCCGCCCTGGAGGAGCTGGCGCGGCGCTGCGACGACCTGCTGCAGCTGCAGGAGCAGCGGGCCCAGCAGGAGGAGTTGCTGGAGCGCCTCTCCACAGAGATCCAGGAGGAACTGAACCAGAGGTGGATGGAGCGGCGCAAGGAGGAGCTGGCGGCAAGCGAGGAGTCACCGGAGCCTGGCTGCGGCCCGGACGGCGAGCTGCTGCTAGAGCAGGAGCGTGTGAAGACACAGCTCAGCACCAGCCTTTACATCGGGCTACGGCTCAACACGGACTTGGAGGCTGTCAAGGCGGACTTGGATTACAGCCAGCAGCAGTGGGACAGCAAGGAGCGCGAGTTGCAGGGTCTTCTCCAGACCCTGCACACTTTGGAACCCGCGGTGGGGCGGGATGGGGCTCTAGGTCCCGGCGCACCCTCGCCGGAAGCCCGGCCTAAAGCCTGTGCCGATGTGTGGGTGGACCAAGCCCGCGGACTGGCCAAGAGCTGCCCTGGCAACGACGAGGACTCGGACACGGGGCTGAGCTCCATGCACAGCCAGGACTCGGACTCGGTGCCGGTGTGCGAATCTCTCGTGTAGGACAAAGGCGCAGGTCGTTTTCTGGTTGGCAGCGTGCCTCCGGCGGGGGCGGGGTGGGGGGCTCAGGGACTTGAATCAGGCTTCAGGAAGCCAGGAACTCCTTGGAGGCTGCTGCGCTCCCTTCTGAGAGCTGACCCGGGCTGTCCGAGAGGGCTGGGGCGCTTGGCCGGCAGCAGGCAGCAGCGGCCCGCTCGCTCCAGGGTGAGTGTGGGACGCGGAAGCTGGGCTCTGTTCCAAGTTCTTTAGGATCCCCCACCATCGGAAAACACACCCCTGGGATTCTGACGTGGTCCACGCCCATTTTCAAAATAGAAAACAAAAAAGTATTATGGAGATCTCACCACCCTTCTGTATGGGAAGGACCGATGGCAGCTAGAACTATTAGTTGGTGGCATAAAGTGCTCTTAAGAGAAACATTTGGACGAAAAGGACATTCCTTGAATGTTAATTGTGACTGTAAACGTGTAAAAACTAGCCAAAGAGGTCACACTGGTGTTGGTCCCAGCCTTATTTTGGATAAAACTCATGGGCACCCAAATCCTGGCTGTTTACATTTCTGCAGGTTGGGGAATTGCCCATCTGCTGAATTATTTGCTTTTTACTTTCGTTCAAAGGCTAAACAGTATCACAGTCTAACTCTGTATTTCTGCCTAGCAAATACAATATATATTAAAATGGGATCTTTTTTTCTAAAATTACCTTTTATTATGTCAGAAGCCAAACATAACTCGCTTGAGATCTAAAATCCTGGCAAACATAATCTCTGGTTAAAATTTAATCTGGGCCCTTTGGGGTCTGCTCTTTGGGAGGCAGGTGTGTCGTCATTTAGTTGATGTTGCTCCTTTGTTGATTCAATTGCTGTTATTTCAGGAAAAGAAAAAAGAAAAGAAAGAAAAAGGAAGCTGCAAAACTCACTTTCCACACTAAATTTTCGGTTTAATGAGCACCCTGGTTTAAACTAAAACTCGAAAGCAATGATCTTTGCATGGTCTTCAGCTTTTGAACGGAGCCCTGTAATTAAAACTAACCATGAACTCAACTCATTCTACCCAAATCCAAGTTTAACTTCAGTATCTCCGGTCATAGGTGAGTTACTTGTCCAAACTGAAATTGAAGTAGTGTAAATGTCAAAGTTTTCTAGATAGAGGCCAATAAGGAAAAAAAAAAAAAAGTCTCCTAGTCCAGCTCAGATGAACAAGTGCATTAACCCCAGTTTGTAGCCATGAGTAAAAGCATATGAAAGCGAGCTGAGGCTTTGAACTGCTCTAGTCTGACACACCCTGTGCCCCTCGAGGGGACCTGGAGTGGGACACTTGTTCTCAGAAGCTGATGATACAGATAGTTAGCTCTGAGGGTCACTGCTGCAGATATTTCAATGAGAATTTACCAGTGGTAGCTGCCTGTTGGCCCTGTGGAAGGAGCCTGCTGGCCGACCTCCCTCTGGAGCTCAGTACTTCTGAGGAATGCCGGATCTAAGCTGGCCCGAGAAGGTATCAACAATGGGGCGTGTGCAGTGCCAGCTTGGAGCAGGAGTTGCAACCGACCTAGCCGTCGAGAGGCCGGCTCCAGTTTCAACACTACAGGTGAAGATAACTGAGAGACCTTGCTTTCTGGAGACGCAGGTCTCCTCTCTGCGTGTGCCACCAAGGGAGCCTGTGCTCCTGACCTCCTCCAGTCACTGGTTGCCAGCTGCGCAGTCTCCTTTTGAGGGACCCCACCTTGGCTGCCACCGCTGGCATGGTATATAGCACTCAGGCCTGTTTTCAGGTTGTCAAGTAAAAATCAGAATTAAAAAGCCTCTTTCTAATTTCATGTTTTCAAAAGATCTTACTTGGCATTCTGATTTTTTTTTTTTTTAAGTTACATCTGGTTCAAAGCATCCACGTATTTGGTCTTGAGTGTGATGACAATGAAGAAACCCACCGTGTTCAGTTGTTCAATCCCATAAACACAAATCCAACAGTTTGGAGGCTGAGATAAAATCCTAATTTGTGCATGACAAGCATCACTTGTCTGAAGGGTTTCTGCTGGCAATGGCCTTACCTGGTGGTTTTTAAATTATTGTGCTTCCCCCCCCCCTTAGGGTGGGAGGAGAGGTAGTTCTTGGATGTTTATTAACTCAGAAAGAAGGCAGAAGTTGGCAGAGGAGGCTGCCTGGTAGAAAGGAGCTATTTTCTTTTTCACTGTTATTATTTTAAACTTTGATGGGCTGCTGACGTCAGCAAATATGCTTGAAGTCTGTAACGCAAACAAGCCACATCACAGAGAGAAGGCCCTTGGGGTGTCCTGGGCTTTGCTTCTAGAACCTTCCCTGCCCTGACCACCTGAAGCTGTTTGCCTAGTCAACTCCTCAGGCAGCCCAGGGAGGCTTTATTTCTAACAAAGCACAGCCCGGGCTGCCCATTTTTGCTTTCATCCAAATCAATTTTATTCCTAAAAGGCATTCTCTGTGTGGGTAGGAGAGGGAGGGCGGGGGAGGGGGAGGAGACAATAGTTCCTTTTAGAAAGAGCTTGTGCTAGCCCGGGAAAGGTACAGTGCCAGGGCGAGGACAAGCTTAATAAACATCAGTGTGTTTCAACTTTTGTTCACATGTGTAGTCAGCACTGCAGGAGGCCTGCACAGCACTGGGTGCCCCACTTCAGCACGTCGGGCCCCTGGGAAAAGTGACCCCAGGCCTCTCCAAGGTCCTGGGGAGGAGACAGCAAGCGTGTGGCCAAGAAGAGGTCGCACAGACAGCCCCCTCCTATTTGGGGATGGATACAACTATTTGTATTTTTAAATACTCCCAGACTAAAAATTCTATATGGTCTCTAAGTTTGTTTATCTCCATATATATATATATATATATTTGTTATTATCATTAGAACAGTCCTTAAAAGTAATGTGAATTCAGAGCAAGAAAAGGCACTTTGCACCTTTTATCACCAAAAACCTGATGCTATCATAATTTGGTGTCTTTCCTTAGGGACTTACTGAATTTTAAAGATTTCATATTTTGCTTCTTTTAAAAAAAATAGCTAAGTGTGCTTATGCATGCCATGTAAACCCAGCACTCTGAATAGGAGGATTACAAATTCAATTCCAGCCTGGGCAATTTAGCAAAAGCATGTCTAAATAAAAGCATTTTTGATGTGATTGTATAAATGCCTTAATACTCAGCTTTTGGAAGACGCCCCGTAAGCAGATCCACTCATCTGGTGACTATACCATAGTTGATGGCTTCTCAGTTCGTGTTACTGGATTGTTTTCCATATTTGTTTTACTATTATAAAATAATACCATGATAAGCTTACTTGTGCGTGTCCCCGTTTCCTAAATATACTTTCTCCCTCCATACAGTAAGATAAATTTCCAGAAAAAGAATTCTTCAAAGAGCACAAATAATTAGAGGCTTAATACTTACCTGCTAAGTTCCTTTTCCAAAGAGTTATTCTAAGTACAGTAAGCTGTGTATGAGAATGGGTATTTGCCATTGTTCAGCTTTCACTAGATATTATATTTTGCTTAGAGGCTATTTCAATCAAAATTAATTAGCACATAGGTGGCAGTGCACACCTGTAATCCTAGGACTTAAGAGGATGAGGCAGCGTATTTCAAGTTCGAGCCCAGCCTGAGCTACATAGAAAGACCTTGTCTCAAAACAAAACAAAAACAAACAAACAAAAAAAAAAAACAAAAAAAAAATCAAAATTCATCATAGGTTTAGGAAGCTGAGGCTGACAATTGCTGTCCTAAAATATCCTTACAACAGCCAGGCTGAGTCATCGGATCCAAACTGTTAACAGTGAATGATATTTTCTCAGATATTCCTTCTTCCAGAGCACCTGTTTAAGATATTCACAGTTTCATCTCCTATCAGAATTGGCCAATAGTCTTAAGAGCAAGAAGCGCCAGTGAGATAGCTCAGTGGACTAAACACCTGCTTTGGCAAGCACAGGGATCAGGGTTTGAGCCCCTGTCCCAAAGCTGTACTGGGCTGTCCCCTGGGGCACACTGAGCTAGCACATGCTGAACACAGGAGGATCACTAGGAGTCTGATCTGCATAGTGAGACACTGTACCAAATGCACAAAGGAAAAAAAAAAGTAGGAAGGGCAAAAACTACACATGTACAGGGCAAAAAACATAATAACTAGGACAACTAGATTCTTAGAATAATCTTTTTCATCTTGAGCCTAGTGGGAAAGG